GGGCCGGAGCCCGAGCCCGACAGGGAGCAGGAGCCGGTGCGCGACGTCGGGTCCGAAGTGCCCCAGGGCAGCCAGGTGCGCGGCGCGGCTGGGGCTGTGGGGCTGGCTAGGAGGCGGGCTCCTGGGCAGGGCCCTTGGCGCTGGGGTCCAGAAGGGGGTGCGGCGGGACTGAGAAAGGGGGATAGGAAGGGCTTGGTCCCCTGGGAGGTTTCACTCTCCTGCGTGGGCCTCTGCTTCGCGGGGCCTGAGGACGGCATTCTTCCCGAGAGGCCTGGCATCTGGTGGTCCTTCCACTCCCGCACGTGAGCCGTCAACAGAACCTTAAAATCGTCCCTTTGGGGCAGAAGCGGGATCGAAGCTCGTGCCTGGTAGGCATCTATTAGCAGCAGAGCCGAATCTATTCATTCGTTCAACTTGAATGGGGGGGGGGTAGGGGGTAAACATTTATAACCCACATCAGTCAAAGCTGAGAGGTGGGAGGTTGTCAGGGCACTAGGAGCACAGAGAAGGTTCCTGAACCAGGCTTTGCAGATGGGGGCTTCACAGAAGCTTTCCTGGAAGAGGTCCCATTTCAGCGGAGACTAGGAGGTTATGGAGGAATTCTCTGTGAAATGTGCAGGCAGGCATTCTAGGCATGTAAAAGCCCAGAGGCCGGGAATGACAGCTCCCATCATTCTGTGGGCACCTGCAGACAGCGTTAAGCTCCGCATATGCAGGATCTAGTTAATTCTCACAATCCCAAGAGGGGTTTGCTTTGTGGATGAGCACACTGAAGCACAGGGAGATTAAGTACCAATGTCTCCCAGCTGGTGACTGCAGTGCTGGGTAGTTGAACCCAGGTGAACTCCGGAGTCCGTGGTAATCATCAGTGTGGCTGGAGCGTGAATGGTGGGGGTGGAGGGCAGCATCCCCCAACCCAGCAGCCCTTCTAGGAGCAGAGTCCAGGCTCAGGTTCCTCCCAGCTCCATCCCCAGATGGTCCAGTTCCCGCAGCTAAGATTCTTGGCTGCCCTCTCCCCTCCCTTGCCCAGCTCCTGCCACCCCTCTAGGCTAGGGTGGGCACTGCTGCCTCCTGGTGGCTGAAGCCCCCACGTCCCCAGGCCTGCCTGGTGTTTGGAGGTGGCGTTCCTTCATTGCTGTTCTCTGGGGCAGACGATGACAGCCCCTGTCAGCCAGCCTCGTGGTGCTATTCTTGTCCTGTCCTTGCTGTGGTTGTCAGTCACACTTCAGGAGGTAGCAGGTACCGTGGCAGGAGCCTTGAGGTTACAGTCAGTTTTTTCTCCAGCCCAGACACTTCTGTGTTCTGTGACCCAGAACCAGTCCCTTCCTTCCCTGTTTCCCCATTTATGCAATAAGGCTTTGGACTGAGTGATGTTTGAGGCCCCCACCCAGACAGTCTGAGATACATTAGGAGTAGAATCTCTGTCCACAGGTAGTTCTCAGGGCCACTGTCCCCATCCAGATAGGGAAACGGAGGGCCAGACAGGGAAGGAGATGGCCTGGACTCCGCTAGAAAGGTCACGGGGGAAGCCAGGCTGGGACAGAGGCCATGGATGTCTCAGGTCTGTGGCCAGAGGCAGGCCTTGGGTGCAGCAGGGGCAGCCCGGAGGGGCAAAGGGGAATGGGAAGCTCAGGGGATAGGCACTGAGTTAACAGTCTCTCACTACTTTCTGTCTGGGAGCTGGTTCTGCTCACAGGGGCTGCCTTCCTGTGCATCTTTTATGTCACTTACTTCCTGGTGCCTTAGTGTTTGCACCTGAAGAATGGGATCTTAGAGCCGGAATTCCTTTTGGGGGAATCTAGTTCTTATCCATTGTGGGAGTCTCTGCTTCTACATGCCATTCGCATCAGTGTCCCACCATATGCTTGCATACTTGCGATGACAGGGAGGCTCACCACCTGCCCTGGGAAATCTTCTAAGATACAGGGAACTGTAGTAGCTGACTCTGTGTGCAGTTCCAGGAGGTGAAGGGGAGAGGCCCAGAAGAGGAGGTGTCTCTCCCTCTCCAGGGATGGAGAGGCAGGCTCCAGAAGAGGGTATTGGGGCCCAGAGGGCTGTGTGACTTGCCCAAGGTTACCCACCAAGCCGATCCCAGACCCAGGGCCTGGGAAAGGCCATGAGGTCGGCCAAGAGAGTGAGGGCTCAGCAGCCACTGGTCCTTCCTCCACCTTGGTCCCTACAGGAGCTGGAGCTGGTGGAGAGCCTACTGAAGAGCAGACCAGAGGAGCCTGAGGGCTGCTGGGAGGCACGCAGCGTGGGGGCCGGAGGCCCACGGGGCAGCTCAGGCCGCCAGGAGCGCAGCCGGCTGCCCTGGGAGGACACGGCCACCATCGAGGAGGATGCATCCAAGTTGACCGCCCTGCGGCTGCGGCTAGATGAGTCCCAGAAGGTGCTGCTCAAGGAGCGAGAGTAAGTCCCAGCAGGGAAGCAGGGCCCCGGGGGCCGGCCGGGCCACGCCAGGGCACCCTCAGAATCGCACAAAGTCAGTGTCGTGGAATGTGAGACTCGCTGAAGGTGCGTGGCACTATTCAGGCTTGAGTCTTGAACTTTAGAGCAGTGTGTTCTAACTGGGGCACCCCATGCAAGTTTTGTTTTATTAATTCAAGTAACATGTATCATGCATTTGCTCTGGGTCAGACCTGTGCTCGGCAGTGAAGATATAGCCGTAAATGAGCCCAAACCCTCCCCACTCCCCGCCTCATGGAGCTTATGTGCTAGTGGGGAGACTGTGTCATGGGCAAAGATACAAGCAGGGAAGGAGGGTCAGGGAGGTTGAGGGGTTGCAGATGGGAATCGGGTTTGGCCCAGTTGAAATGGAGACGACAGGGAGGCAGTTGCGTATGTGAATGAGTCTGGAGTTCACGAGGCAGATGTGGGCTGGAGGTAAAAACGCAAGAGTCAGCAGGGAATAAGTGATTTCAAAAGCCGTGCGCTGGGTGAGGGAGGTCAGAGGATGGAGCCCTGGGGTCCTCTGACTTAAAGATCAGAGGAAGAGCCCAGCAGCGAGGAGACAGGAGAAGCAGGTCCGGGAAGGGTCAGGGAAACCAGGAGCACCGTTTCACAGAGGAGGGAGTGAACAGCTGGTCAAGGAAGAAGAGGACTAAGCGCTCACCAGAGGATTTAGAGTGTGGAGGTCGCTGGTGACCTTGATCAGGGCACAGGCCTGATTATAATGAACATTCTGTAACACTCCCTTTCTGTCCAGAAATTAAATGCATAGATAGTATGAAGGCAAAGATCAGGGAGATGCTTGTATAAGTCAAGGAGAACCAGAGATGGCCCGCAAACTCCCAGAAGCAAGGGGACAGGTTCCTTCTCATGGTACTCAGTCAGAGCCAACCCTGCCGACACCTTGATCTTGGACTTCTGCCTCCAGAACTGTGAGACCATAAATTTCTGTTTAAGCAAGATGGACAAATAGCAGCCTGTTTCACTAACTGAAATATAAAGCAGGAATGTAAATATAGTGTAATATACATATTGTGACATGGACGTGCTGAGGCCCAGCTCCACTAGAGGAGATAACGAAGTGCAGTCAATCCTTGGACAATATGGGGGTCAGGGGCACTGACACTCCCCGCCCCCACGCAGTTGAAAATCTGACTCCCCAGATTTGATCCCCCAAAACGTAATTCGTTGACCAGAGCTTTACCGATAATATAAACAGTCGATTAACATGTATTTTGTACGTTCTGTGTATTACGTGTTGTATTCTTACGATAAAGGAAGCTAGAGGAAAGAAACCATTAAGAAAAAGGGAGGAAAATACAATACTGTACCGTATTTATCAAAACGACCTGCGTGTAAGTGGATCCGTGCGGTTGAAACCCAGGGTGTTCAAGGGGCAGAGGTAGTCAGAATCGGGTGCCTTTACAAAGAAGGGTAGTGATAACCCTCCCAGCCAATACTTACATAGCACGTACTCTGAGTCAGGCTTTGTGTGGATGGGCTCAGTTAAGTCACCTCCCAGGACAGCTACAAAAACAGCAGGTGCAGCGTGTGGGGTCCGCAACTCAGATACACAAGCGCCGTCGAGGTGGCGACAAGATTTCCTGCGAGAGGAACAGCCTTTGGTAAAGTTCTGAGCCAAGCATAGCGCACCGTTCTTTCAATTTATACAGCGATCTGGTCCTGGGGAGACGCTGTGAATACAAAAGATACTTTCTGTTGATGTGTGAATCAGAGTGAGGGTCTAGGCTCAGATGGTTTGCACACCTGGGGGTGTCTGGCAGGGCATGCACGCTTTACAGGGGATGCGGGATCAGTCCCGGAGGGTGGGATGGCCCTGGGCCTTCAGTGCAGGACATAGGCACCCCTTGTCCCTGCCCACCGAGTGACCAGGTCATGCAGGGTTACCAGAAATGCCTCCTAGAGGGTGGTATTGTCTCCTGAGAAGCCCACGTTAGAGGCGGGAGATGTCAGGCTCCCCGAGAGGGAGGCTGGTCGGCGGGGGGTCACGAGGCACAGCATGCTGAAGAGTGAGGATAACGTTGAGCACCTACTGTGTGCCGGGGCCAGGCCCCGTGCTCATTACCCACAGCATCTCACTCATGCACGGAGCAGAGTGCAGAGTGGGGATCGTGGGAGATATTCCCCACCCAGGGAGGACGACGAGAGGTGACCCCTCCATCTGAGACCCAGTGGACAGGGTTTTCCAGCTTTTCTGACCCCAGAACCATGTGTTCAAACCAAGCCTTACAGGCAACAACCGTACCTAAAACAGAAACAGGGGTCATATTGGGCAGTTGAGCCTGAGACACTTGACCAGGCATGGTCAGTGCCCTGGAGTCCTGGTCACCTGCCCACATCGTGAGCTGGGCGCCTGCAGTGGTGCAGAAGGTGGGGAGTAGAGCTCTTTGCAAAAGGAGTGCAAACCCTGGGCGGGGGGTGGGGAGGGTGGTTGGTGCCAGGGCCTCGAATGCCGAGGCAAGGACTTCAGACACCGGCTTCCCAGGTGCAGGCCGCACAGGAGGACTCTCAGCAGAGGGCCTCGGTGGGCTCACCCCCGTGTCTGCCTCTCCTCCTCCTCTCTCCAGGGATAAACTGGCACTGAGCAGGAACATTGAGAAGCTGGAGGGGGAGCTGAGCCAGTGGAAGATCAAGTATGAGGAGCTGAACAAGACCAAGCAGGAGATGCTCAAGCAGGTGAGTCTTGGAGACGGCAGTCTTCTTAGAGGAAGCAGCATTACACTGTTGAATTTCAGCAGCGGGAGTGGGAGAAAGGAGGGAGTTCAGTCATTCCTCATCAAATGCTGGCCACGCTCTCTCCGCTGTTCTGAGTGCTGGTGCAGGCAGTGTCCCTGGCTTCGGGAGCTCACCTTGTGGGGGCTGTGGGGTGGGGCACAGGGAGTACCAACAGTAAGCAGCCAGATAAATTCATAAGCTCTGAAGGAGTCAGACAGAATAAGAGAGATGGTGGTGGGTCAAGAATGGCATCTCTAAAAAAAATAAAATAATAAAGTAGTAAGTAGATAGTAAAATTAAAATTAAAAAAAAAAAAAGAAGACTGGCCTCTCTGGGAAGGTGACATTTGAGGCAAGACCTAAAGAAGCTGTCCTTGAGAGGATTTGGGGGCAGGGTTCCTGACAGAAGGCACAGCACATGCAAAGGTCCTGAGGCCAGAGTAAGCCTAGCATGTGCAGAAAGCAGAGGGCAGTGTGGCTGGAGGGAAGTAAGTGAGAGATGAGGTTCCAAGGGAGCCAGACCTCACCGGGCTTCGTAGACCACGCTGAAGGGGAGGAGTTGGGATGTAGCATTCATGGGGTCTAGAATGTTCTCCATCTCACTGACGCTTCAGGGCAGTCAACGAAGCTGGACCCTGGGGTCCCCATTTTATAAAGGACAAAACTGAGGCTCCAGCGGGCCAAGAGGGAATTCCACAGCTGCAGTTTGGGGACTCAGGGCAGGCCGAGGTCCTGCTGGGTGGCTGCGACTGCCTCGTGTGCGGGCCCCTGTGGCCACCAGGGGGCGAGGCCACCCAGAGAAAGTCTGCTGGACCCGCTGCATTTCCAGAAGGTGCGAAGATCCCTCCAGACCCCAGGGCCTAAAACTGCCCTGGAAGCAACGAAGACTGTCTCATGGTAGAATCTCTCAGGGAATATCCTAAAACCATCCGTCCCCAGAAGCAGCGTCTTTGGGGGATGGGTCCAGGAATCTGCCTTTTTAATCTTTCCATATTATGAAGTGGAATCTTTTGCAGAAAAGTGAATAAAACATCAGTGTTCAGTTTAGCAGATAGTCATAAAGATTCTCTTTTGTAACTGGCTTCTTTCCCTCAGTGTTACGGATTTGAGCTCACCCGTGTCATTGCACAGAGTGACAGTTTGTTGGTTTCCCTGCTGTACGACGAGGCATCTGCACTATGCCCCCGTCACCCCAGGCGATCCCTATGTGGCCAAGCGTGCACGCACGCGCAGACCCTGTTCAGATCCACTGAGTGCATTCAGTCAGTTCACAGGGCTACCCAGTGCCAAGGCCATATAGGGATACAAAGGTGGACAGACAAGCTCTCTGTCCTCCCAAGCTCACATTCTAATGGGGAGTGGGACGTAGAGTAAAGGAGGCACCTCTTGTAGTCAGGGAGGAGGAGAGAGGCCTTCCTGAGGAGGGGGCATTTAGGCCAAGGCCTGAGAATGCAAAAAGTCAATCCTATAAAACAACTTGGAAAGAGTGATGGTAGAGAGAACCATATGTACGAAGGCCCAGTGGTGGACAGGAACTTGGTGTGTTTGAGGACTCGAGCCTGGAGCACTGTGAACTAAGAGGAGAGAGGAGAGATGGGCAAGGGTCCAACCATATTGTGAAACCAGAGAAAGGGGTCGGGTTTTATCCTAAGGAACCCAGGGATGGGGGTATGATTGACTTATCTTTTTAAAGAGCTCATTCTGGGCTGGCTACTGTCATGGAAGTGGAGTGCCAGGGGCCACAGTGGGCACTGGGAGGCTAGATGATCATGAGGTAGGACGTATGAAATGCCAGAAGCGGCACCAGCAGTCAGATCCAGGCCCTGTTCTGGGTACCCAGTGGCGCATCTGGACTCCACATCAGGCTCCTTGCTGAGCACTCCAGCCCCAGCGCCCATCCCCCGGAGCCGGTTCCGGGATATACCCAGGTGGTTCTCACGGAACCGGGCTGCGCTGTGTCCCACAGCTCAGCATCCTGAAGGAGGCCCACCAGGACGAGCTGGGTCGCATGTCTGAAGACCTGGAGGATGAGCTCGGGGCGCGGTCCAGCATGGACAGGAAGATGGCAGAGCTGAGGGGTGAGGTGAGGCCACCGGTGGGATCTGGGAGGGCTTGGGGCTGGGGTGGGGAGGTGGGGAGGAGGGAGGCAGGGGCCTGGCCTCCATCAGCCGACCACTCCAAAGAGGGCAAGAAGGAGGTCTGTATGCTGAGGCAGGGACCAGCCACACCCGGAAGGTGCTCTGGTCTGCAGGGGGCAGCGGGCCTCTCTCCCACACACAGACCAGAAGCGCCCTCACATCCTGCACACCGTGAAATCAGCCCAGGTTAATTATAGCTGCTGCAGCTGGATCTGCTTCCTGGAGCCAAAAATGGCTCTGGGGGGTTGGGGGAGCATCCAGCTTAGGCCCTCCTGTCCGCCTTCCCCCTGGAGCCCTGACCCTGTCCTGCCCTGTTGCAGATGGAGCGGCTGCAGGCGGAGAACGCGGCCGAGTGGGGTCGCCGTGAGCGGCTGGAGACTGAGAAGCTGGGCCTGGAACGGGAGAACAAGAAGCTGCGGGTGCAGGTCGGGGATCTGGAGGAGGCGCTGGCCCGCCGGCGGAGGCAGACAGCCAGCGCCCTGGACTGTGACCTGCGGACCAGCCAGGCTGCGCTTTTCGAGAAGAACAAGGTGGGGTAGCGGGTGGTACGGCCAGGGCCGGGGCAGAGCACCCACTGTGTGTCCAGCTCCAGCCCACGGGGGGCGGGGGACCCCTGAAGTGACAACGAAGGACGGAGGTGGCGACGGCCCCAGAAGCCACTCCTCCCGGGCATCCCCTGTGGGCCACGTTCCTGATACTGCTCTGGCCGCTAAGCAGGGAGCCTGCAGGCGCCCCGTGACCGTGAGCGCCCCCCCGCAGGAGTTGGCCGACCTGAAGCATGTGCACGGCAAGCTGAAGAAGCAGTTTCAGGAGAAGGTGGCCGAGTTGGCACACGCCAACCGGCGGGTGGAGCAGCACGAAGCAGAGGTGAAGAAGCTGCGGCTGCGGGTGGAGGAGCTCAAGAAGGAGCTGGCCCAGGCTGAGGATGAGGTGAGCACCCGCTGGGGCCCACGGGGTGGCCTCAGGCCTCAGCGGCAGTGGCAGCAGGGCTGCAGGGCCCTCCCGTGTCACTGTGTGGACGGTAGATAGGTGGACGGTAGATAGGTGTGTGGGAAGGAGAACGGACGGCAGGGTGGATGAGTAGCTGAATAGATTAACGGATGGATGAGTGGGCGGACGTGTAGGTGGTCCGTGTGGCACGTAGATGTGGAAATGGAACGACAAGGAAGTAATTCCGTGGATGGATGAGCAGATGGATGAGAGCATAGAGGGACAGGTGGATGGGGAAGGGAGGGGGAGAGGGACGGAGGATGGATGAAATGTAACAAGAGATGTCTGATAGGTGACTGGATGGATGGCTGGAGGGGTAGGTGACTGGATGGGTAAATGGATGGGTGAATGGGTAGGTGGAGGGATAGGTGACTGGATGGGTGGGTGGATGGATGGGTGACTGGATAGGTAGATGGGTGGGTAACTGGATAGGTGGATGGATGGGTGGGTGACTGGATAGGTGGATAGATGGGTGAATGGGTGGGCGATTGGATGGATGGGTAGGTGGATGGGTGGGTGACTGGATGGGTGGATGGGTGGATGGGTGGGTGATTGGATGGGTGTATGGATGGATGGGTGAGTGACTGAATAGGTGGGTAGATGTGTGTGTGGGTTGATTGATAGGTGGATGGGTGGGTGACTGGATAGG